CCCTCACACTCATAGAAAGGGATAGTATGACTTCACTGATTTCCTTGATAATCCGATTTTATTAGGGGACGAGACTACATCATAAAGTTGGAAACGAAATATTACACTAAAATTTGATGAACTGCCTGATATTCAGACAGAATTTCTCGAAAACGAATTTTGCATCTTCCCCTGGGAATCGAACACTCCTCAACGAGTCAAGTTAGACTTATTCAGTGCAGCAGAAAGGGATCTTGCTCTGGAGATGTTCCAGGCAAAATCCATGAACAGAAGTTCAGTCGTGGGCTAGTGTCACGGCACTCCCATCGCATACTTTCTATGTAGCAACTGAAAATAAAATGCTCCTTCGAGCAATCTTTTTATTTATTTTTGTGTTTTTTCCGTTCATGCTGTGGTCATGAAGGTGCAGGTGATGTAGTGACGAGTGGCGCACTATCTCATACGCTCGTAATGGATCGAATCTCTAGTCGATATCACCCAGGGCAACCAAGCCTTCCACCCCTCTGTGGTTGGTCAAATGTTACCAGGCTCAGAAAGTTAAAGGTTAGTGCTTTTATACTCCAAGACATGGTATTGTCTGGGACGATAAAAGCGCTAACTGGTAGATCGTCTGGCCACCGTGATTCATTGTAAAGGCCACATACGCATTCGAATGCCACTACGATTCCGAATGGAAATCGGACACGGGGGGNACACGGGGGTGCATCCCTCAGACGGGATTGATTGACGCCGCAAAACTTTATCCTTCATCCTTTTCCTGTGATCACAATTCAAACAAAACTTCCCTATTTAAAAGCCTTGTGAATAGGCATTGACTCCTTTCTATCTCTCTCCAGACCTGTGCTTCTACTACTTGCTCTATAAAAATGTATTTCTTTAAAAAAAGCAGTTTTCAGGTCATCCATTCAAACAACATCACTGTAATCTATGCACTCTTACAACAGGCCAAAGGAATGAATATGACCGAGCCGCCGTTCTCCTACATCTTCACAAATACCGTAGGTTCCCTTTCGATTTACATACTTTCTGCTACCTCCTAAACCAGCAAAATCCGTTTTCTTTGCAGGATTTGTCACTATTGGAAGATTTTCTCAACAACGCCTATGGTGCATTTCACTGTAATATAACTGGTTTGCAGCTTGTAAAAAATGATCCAATGATGAAGGTATGCCAATGGTCCCTAGTTTGCTTCTCCATTCTTTCAATGATTGCGTTTTCCAGACATCTCTGGCGCTTATCTCGGAGGCGGTTTGGGTGATTGGAACGGNGTTTGCAGCTTGTAAAAAATGATCCAATGATGAAGGTATGCCAATGGTCCCTAGTTTGCTTCTCCATTCTTTCAATGATTGCGTTTTCCAGACATCTCTGGCGCTTATCTCGGAGGCGGTTTGGGTGATTGGAACGGCGGTGTTCAAAATGAAAGAGGTAATTTTGAAGACTCGCGTGAAAAAATGAAAATTCAAGGGTTGCTTCTCAGTATCGTTTCGTGAGGATGCCATTCGCTCAAAGCATCGCTTGGCTTTCCTGATATTTCTCAACCTCTCATATATGCGACTTCTTTCGTAAAAGAAATGGTAAACCTTCCAGTCGCCGGGTCGATAGAACAGATTAAGGCTGAAAAGCCTCAGATGAGCATCCATTACTCCATTATGTGACTGCCTCCAGCCTTAACGAAGCGAATTTTTGAAAAATAGATAGAGCTCACGATTGAGTCTTATTTTGAAATTGCGAGCGCTTGAGTGACTAGATTTCTCATGATCACAGCCGGGAGGGTGGTGATGTAGCGGCAAGTGGCGTACTATCCCATACGCATTGTCACGGGCTTGAGTCCCGGATCGATAACCGCTCAGACCAACCATGCCTCCAATTTCTACTGGGTCAGCTAATTGATATCCGGGTCATTTGGGAGGATAAAGACACTGACTTGTACAGTCGCCGAAAGTCATTTTATAGGCGACATATGCATACATTACGGCAATTTCTGATTGGAAGTCGAATGCAGGCCAGCATCCCGAGAACAGGACTGACTGGAAGACTTTGTTATCAAGAATCCTTTATTTCCCTCTCTTCTTCAGAAACTGCTTTCTTCGGAAGTCTAATTGGCAATCTTCAACAAAGAAGTCGCTTTTTCTCTGAACTTAATCGAATTCTCTCGAACAGTTTATACAGGCGCTAATGCCTTCTCAGAGCGATTTATGAGTGTTTATAAATTGTGGAAAATCATAATTCGGGCAGTTTTTTTAAAGAAAAATGAATCATTGCATAATTGTTGTAGCCAGATCAGTAGCAATTTCGCCTGCAGGTTTTGTCTGAAAAGAGAAGAGGGCGAACGTTGGTCAGGTGTAGCATCTAGGAGTTCGAACTGGACAAAAGTCCCTCTCGAAGTGTTTAAATCCCTGGTGACGTGTAGAAGGCAAAAGATGATTCTGTGGAAAAGGTCCAAAAGGTTATGGGAATTAAGAATGTCTGGAAATGGGAGAGATTTGAGGAAAGACGATAAAAATGTCAAAGTGAGCCTAATTTTTCTTTCGACGAGCCCTGTCACTTCATAGGCTAACCCCCATGAAATCACCCGTCTCGACAACATCGAGGGACTTCCTTATTTTACAACTTATGCTTGGAATTGGAATTTGTCGTGGAACTTGGTGCAGAAATGCTATTCCTACCCTCTTTCGGGGAAGTTGTTTTGAACCCGCTCTCAAATTTACTTTTTTCTTCGACATTTAACGGTAACCTGACTGGTTTGGATCAATTGTTCGTTGACGGCCATAGTTAGGAATACGGTTTCCTCTCGATGAAGAATATAATGGCGCCTTTTGGAACTGCTCTCCCCCGCCCTACCCAATCATCACACCCAATAATTCATGGAAATCAGGTAGTACCAAAACGATTAATTATCCAACTTTAATCCCACAGGAAAGGTAAGATAGTATCTGAATGTAGAGTTGCTGAACCATCTATTTTCGAATAATTATTCAGCAGCTGGAAAAGGTCGTTTGATCATTTCGAAGAAAAGTTGCTCCTACAACTGAAGAAGAAATCCAGAACATTTTCGCTTTCCAAACAAATCGATATGGCTTTGTGGCAATATTTAATATTCAAAGTGTCTTTTCCAAAGGGCACCCTAGGAAGGCCCGGAAAACGCGTTCGTTTGGAACTCAATTATATGGCGATGCTCAGATTATTTGAATGCTTGATACTGAACAGTGGTTTTTCCTCAACAGGCAATATCTTAGATCGAGGTGTCCATTTCGAATGGAACCTACGCTGCTAAAGATATTTTTGGGTGCTAACCTCAAGTCTCCTTGCCAAAGTAGTGATGTAATGCGATGCCAAAGTTCTCTGAACCAAGCTATGAAGGTTCTGTGATTGATTTGGATCAAATAATTGGAAATGAAATTGGAATAAACTTGAGATCAGCATGCAAAAATACGTCTCAATTATAAATCTGACTCCATATGGCTACCTCGAGTTGTATTCTTCCCTGACTGAAGTTGACGGAAGGTTCCTAAGTGCCATGAAACGGAGCACCTAGAAATTTTGCTGCTCAGATAGTGTATCAATAGGTCCGAAATCCAAAAGTCTCTGATCGTGGTTCATAATAATCCAACACAAACAACAAACATCATCAAATCAAAATGTTACCCTGCAAGAAATCGTCACGAAAGGGTGATAAGTTTTTTTGCCAAGGAACCACTACACAAAATATCCTGCATCGCTGAAATTTTTTTTGAATTTGTGGGACGTACTGTATAAGGAAGTTTTGAAATTCAGTCACTCATGGAACTGGTCTTGTACCGAGTGTTTCGGACGAGTGCTACTGTGTAAGCACAGACTTACGGCTTCGAAGCAAAAATAACTGATTCCACCTTATGTTAAGTGATAAGTCAGTAACTATCATGGCGAATTCGTGGATGAAAAACATGCCCAACTCTAAGCGCGATGATGGGCAATGCGAATGGGCTGGTAGAAGAATGAATAATGATTGGTTGGTTTGACATTGGCCATTACTTTTGAATGGTCACGCTTTGTACAGCAACTTAAGGATACATGTATATTGTCAGCGAATAAATGGGCAACCCCATGTTCAAAGAAGTTCTGCCAGCCTTTCCAGCAAGTATGACGGCGGTCCCGATTTCTGAGAAACGGCGTCTTGTGGTGGTGGAGTGGTCGTGACAGGTTTCGGGAAATTAAAAGTGGTTCTCTAACGAAATAATTTATCTTTTACCAACACACCGTTGATGCACGTTTGCTTGCCGGTGCCTGAAACCAGATTTGATTTCTTTCCCGGAAGGTAAGTTGAAGCGATTGAAAAGAGCGGTCCTAAATAGTTCAGAAAGCTTTTTGACATCGTCTTGTTTCTAGTTCCTCTGCAGGTTTTTCAGCAATCATTGAAATTCGAAAACTCGATTTAGTGAGTGGGAACCGGTGTTGAATTCATTACTCAAAGTCCTTCAGAAAAATTAGTCTCTGACTCTTTCCCTCTTGCTCACCTACAGACCGCAAACACGTCGATCATTAAAAGAGTAAAGGGTAAAGAAGCTGAAATAAGACCACTCGTCTTAGGAGTTTTTTAAAAAGAGAATGTGTTATCTAGCCATCTTTGCACCGTTTCTTTTTCAGCTGAGAAATCCTCCTCGACCTTCTGCGTTGTTGTGCGACGCGCAAGACTCTTGGGTGGATGGCAAAAGGATGAATGCAGCTATCAGAGCCGTTAGTTCTCAATTTAAATACCTTCAACATCAGCGAAATCATGCTGGGAAGAAGCCAAGATATTTTAGCTTCGTGGTCGACGTCAGCTCACTGGAGACGTTCGGTTCGATGGGCAGGGGGAGCGTGAAGATCTCGTGTACTATGGCATTGGCAGGATTAACTCACAGTTTCTCAAGGTAACCTGGCTGTTGGAGAAATTCTTTTTTCTTGTGATTGTCAAGCCTTATTCTTTACCCGCACGGTTTCATGAAGGAGTTGAGAATGTAAAAAGAGGTTGGAGCAATACTCCAGTACTCTTCGAACAGGATAGTCGACAGTGAAGGCTTCCCTGGCGGCACAATCCCGCCTTCCAATGCTGCGAAAGACTCGACGCTTCACTGGAATCTTTGAATAAGAGATGATCTTGCATATCCGTTGTGGTATGAGCTGGGACTATCGGACGTCCTCAAGGACCCACTGAGATAATGCTTGTATCGCCCCGTCATTGCCGAATCGCATGACGGGTTTGATACATCTGATCTTCGATGTCTTAGCCGCAACAATCTCACAAGGTCCCCGATCTTCGGTCGTCTACTGAGCACAGCACCCTCGATATCCTCTGACTCCTGCGCCTTACTACTTTGCGCTACTCCATAGCTAATGCTGTTGGTAAACATGACCACATTTGGAGCCTGCCAGAGCATAGTTCACTTGTGAGTTTATAAGGTTGGAAAGCTTTTGTCCCCTCCCCCCACCCTTAGGCTAAATAGAGAAGTAGAGCTTATGTAAGTCCACCCCACCCCTTCTATATTCGGACCCTCATTGTTTGTAAGAAAATCCCTAGTTCGTCATCATGTTTTTTAGGAGCCTGTTATGATAAACTAGAAAGGCTTTGAAAGACTTACTATACTTTGATTACAGCCTACTACTTAGTTTCCAGGCCATCTGTAAGTAACACTTCCCAGTAGTGCACGGTTGTACCCATTTTCTCAACAATGGACCACAATGTGCCGATCTCTACAATTAAATTGGATCTCAAGAAAAACTACAGTACCTGACAGCTACTCTTACAGAGATGAGGCGTGGGAAAGATGCTACCATGGTGCAGTTATTGTGATGAATCAGTTTCACATCTTCAGAGCCCAAAGTCGTGGGCCTAATTTTATATAATTTATGAAAGAGCTTGTAAGATTTTCTGAAAAATAATCAAAAATGTTCCTTCGAGTTTGCTGGAAGACCCCGGTTTGCCTCATTTCGAACAGACATTCGAGCTACAATGTCTGCTTACTCGATTCATCATGAAATGAGTGGAATGATTGTCTACGGGGCTCCTTGAAGTCAGTTTTTTGGAAAAATGTGTTAAAACAGCCTATCGGTTTTTGAGAGAATTTTTTCTGTCATGCGTTTTGGGCTATGTTTCCTAATTCCTTGTCTGCATGGGGATTCTATTCTACTTGAGAGTTCAGCTTGAGACTCCTAGCTGCACGCACACACCTGGAAACTAGTTCGCTCCCACCCTTGCTACGTTTAGACGTGAGCTGTTGGTTTGTTTGCTAGAGCGTTTTTCATCCTTCCGCAGTGACAACAGTAGCACCTACAGAAACTAGTACACTTGTCTCAGCGGCTCTCTCATGAGAGAGAAGTCTAGGTACGAATACCTCTCATAATAAAGATGTTGAATGAGCAGAAGTGGTGTCATATGCCACTGCTCGCAAACAGAAGCAGACTTCTCCTGAGTAAATCTGTTGGGATGATCTGCAGCTTTAATCCATCCATATTCGGGATCCCTGAATTCTTCTGTGAAAAGAGATTTCGAGGAGAAGTCGGATAGCGGACTCAGAAGTCGAAGCACGGCTGTTATCAAAAAGGTGCGCTCTTTTCTGAGCGACGATACAGAACTACGGAAAACTCTATGAAGGAAAGCATAGGTCTATCAGAATGCCAAGAGATCAGGTGTTCTGGATGGCTCGAATGGCCACTTCGAATTTTTCTGAATCTTCCATGTCAATGCTGGGTGTGTGTACATTCGTGCGATTGGAGCTGCGCGGCAAATTGCGCGGCGAAATTCATAGCTATTCGGACGAATTTAGCGCCTACTATTGGGGCCCAAATTCGCAGTAAAGTTGATTAGTAGGATTAGCCGACAATACTAATCTACTCTACTTCAAGTTTGTGCCTCAATAAGAGGTGCCAGGGCCGTTCGGAAGGCCACGAACTTCGCCGCGCAATTTGCCGTGCGCAGCTCGAATCGCACGAATGTACCGTCCCCCGTCAATGGTTAATTCAAATTTTGATCTTCTGAAAATTGGAATTAAATTCCCTAATAAGAAGAACAGCAAGTCTTTAGAAATAGAGTGGATTACAATATGTTACAGCTGTCCATTGCTTTCTCATAACATTCACGTACCGGTTGGATACCTGACTTCGATATTAGTTATTTGTGGCTACAACCTCACTAATGGAACTCTACAGAGTACCGGTAGGGTGCTATTGCAAAAATAGGTTTACAGAAAATATTACTCTAATCCAATTGTTGGTATTGTCATTTTGTTAGCGACTCTCTTACTTTGAAATCGGATTTGTGGACAAGCAGACGTAATGCCAGTAAGACGGCCAGACAAACTTATGCGTTGGAATGCCACGGTCTAAGCCTAGAGATGAGCATTCATGTGGTTGCTCCCATCCTCATAGGATCGTTCATGAAATCCAAAAAATGCTTATGGGCAAACCTAACTTCCAGCTTGTTCTTAAAAAGGCATTATGCCCCAGTTCCTCAGAATTTGAGTTCGAGAATTTCTAGCCCTGTTGATAGGTTGCTGATATTTTCTGCAGACGCCCAACACTTTGCTCAAGCAAATTTGACAGTTTCTCTAGTAATTCTAGTATTTTGTCACAAATTGATTTAAAACCACTTCATCATATTACGCAGCAGCAGCAGCACACAATCAAGGACAGCGAAGGAAGGAAGTCGTCGATTGAACGATTAGGGCTGTTCCATCGCCCCTCACTTAATCATTTTCACAGCAGAACGACGTTGTTAAAAACACATTTCCTTCTTACGAAGATTCACACCTATCTAATGTTGATCAAGGGCTTGACCATGTTGTGTTGCACTCCCCCTAGACCTGACAATTGCCTAAAGAAATGGGCCAGGAATTACACTGTGGCGATTTATGTCCTTGAAACAGTGCTAGTCACCGTGAAAGTTGTGACTTCCACCTTTTTCTTTTTAAGAAACAAAAATTTCAAGAAACATTATTCAGAGGGTTGCAACAGTTATTGTGAAGACAGCAGAAGCCTTTCCAAAGAGCTCTTTGCAGCTTCAATGGTCGTCCATAAACCAATGATCAGCCAATCATATTCAACACAATCAGAAAATTTCATATATTTATTTCACTCCTTATTTACACCACTACCCACTCTATTTGCCCCCTTTCATAGCAGTCTCAATTTCGTTACGAACTTCTGGTGACAGTGATGCAAGGGTAGCTTGGATTTCCTGGGCTTTCTGTTGGTTGGTCTTGTTAGGATCGGCAGCAATTGCTGAGAGTTTGGCATCAGCCTGAAGGAAAAGAGCTTTTCGATGGGCATTTCCAAAAAGGTTCGAATGTCAATGTCTTGTCAGCTCACCTCCTTCGCCGCCGGGCTGAAGTTGGCAATTGCCGCTTGGTGGGCCGCCTCGCTTTGAGCCTGGGCTTGCTTTACTTGTTGCACGAATGCATCGAAAGCGGTCTGTAAACTACTTGACTTTGAAGATTTAATAGGAATGTGCAAGTGTAAACAGCTGAATTCATTAAACACCCGAATTCAAAGCGGAACTAGCGATAGCTTCAAACAATTTACCTTGATCGCCGGGTCTTGCTGGTTAACCCAGTCCTGAACTTTCTGGTCAATCTGGGCATCGGTTAGACTTCCTGCATTGGCCATCAAGGCTTGGAATGACTGTTGTGTGGCTGGAGGGGCCTAAAACAGATTGGGAATAGGCAAAACATCGTCTTTCGAAAAATTCCCGAGTTCCAGTATTATAAAAAAGACTGTAGATGCATGAAAGTTAAAAACTGACATTTTGCAAAAATGGTGGAACTCCTTGTCCCTGGGCGAAGACAAATGCAACGAGGCAGACGAGGGCGACGAGTTTGAGCATGACTTAAAGGCTGACTGTGCACTGCCGCGGCAGCCTTTTATACGCGAGACTGACTGAAACAGGTTCTTAGCCCTATAGAAAGACGCATCGCACTATTCGCTTAATTGTTACGTTTTAAAGCCGAAAAGAAATGACATCAAACACATCCCACGAATCTGTTTTAGCATAGAAAACCATGAAGTTCTCTGTCCACTTAGTCTTCTGATAGGGTCATTAGTTTATGGGGTGTTCAGTAAGCCACCGGTAATCGACATCGAGATAACACGGCTCCTTAGACCGGGAACATTGAACAGCAAAGTATTTCAGAATTACTCGTCCTCAATATTGAGGTAGAATTAGTCTTCTGCGACTTAAAGACTTGTCAGGATTACGGTATCTTAGTGTCTTTAGCCAACATTTTTGTTGTTTGCGAGTTAGTAAATGTAACGAATCTGCTTTGAATCCCTTGATTAATGGCCTGCTAGTGGAAATGTGTCAAATGACCTAATCCACTGTTTTGATAGCTATTGATTGCCCTCAACTAGCAGTATCCTCAAAGTATTAGCACTTCAGCTTTGTCTGGTTCTGCAGGAATAACTTCAAATTTTGAGTTTGTTCACGTGTGGTACAACAGGTTCCGGTCATATGTTTGTGTCAACTCAAAATGTCGCTTTTCTCGCCTTAGCAAGCGCTGATCCTTCTTGAATTGCCAGATTGTGTTTACCTTCGTTCGTCGATCTCGTCTAAGCATATCTCAGCGACAAACAGAACACCCAACAAAGTCTATCATGATGGTATCCCTTCAATTTTCGAGTAACGCCGAATTGTTCCAGGCTTTTTCCGCCTTCTAAGCAAGCGTAATACACTTGTACTTCACCATTTCGCTAGCCTTTTCTTCGGATGATTTTTTGGTAGACACTGCTGCGGGGGCCGAAAAAGTGTCCTCTGCCAGAATGTTTACAGTGCGCTGGTTGTGGTGATGGTGCGAAATATACTCCGTGGGGAACGTGTTTCTTTCGTTTGAGTGGTTGGTTGAGCGTCATGACGACCTTCATGGGGTTTTATTTTACTAAGCAGTTTTTCGTATGTTTTCTAGTTTTTCGTGGAATACTGGTTTGTTGTACAACCTCCCACATACAACACCTGGCACTTGAGCCTTGGATCTGTTGTGAACCCCCTAACGAGTGTGCGCGCAGGGAAGAAAGAAGCTTTTCGTAACAATTTGGCAAATTGCAGCCTCAGATAGTTTGTTGTCTGGAAACTCTCTTGTATTTCTCGTATTGGTTTAAAATAATTGATGTTGCAGGCAACGGGGAAGGCGAGAGATGGGGGAGTGGAACGGGGTCGACTTCGTTCGTTTTTGTTTTCCAAAGTTTCGACTTTGCATCATTGATCGGTCTACGTTCCCGTGTATATCGTCAGATCGATCCATTTAATCCCAAGACCGACACATTTATCGTCACACATACACACCGTGTCGGTCGGGGAAACGTACGACCTTCATGGTTTCATGCCTACTTGAGCGAAGACCTGAGGGGAACGAGTTCATGACGAGAAGCGCTACACTGATGAGAAGGCGTTCATTGTTCTGGTTGTGAGCACTTTGCTTCATGGTTTTTTGCCAATGGCAATGAAAAAAAATAAAGCGAAACCAGACAGACAAGTAGTGCCAAGTGCCCTGTTGATTGAATTGCCGGCACAAGTGCCTTCCATATTTGTCCTAGGTAACAAAGGTCTACCCAAAGGTAACATAATGTCGGGACTTCATTCAGTTCAATTCAGTGTGGAACAACGATGGAGCACATTTGAGTTGATACAAAATCTGCAAAAATTTCGTCTAAAACCCTTAAAAGCCTCCATATGGGTTCCAGAAGGTAGATGGGAACTAAATCTCCACTTGGGACACCTGACGCTGTTGTCTCCTCCATATCTTCGAGAAGCTGTTTGAGAAAATTGTCGTGATCAGCAATCTACACGGAAAACCTCACTGAATTTTCTTCAATTGTTATTGCATCTTTGGGGTTTTTGCTCCTTTTTCAAACTCGTCGCCATGAATCCTTCTTGAGTTTGAATTGAA